TATATATATATATATATATATATATATGTATGTATATATGTATGTATGTGTATATATATATATGTGTGTGTGTGTGTGTGTGTGTGTGTGTATACACACACATATATATAACAACACACACACATATGCAGGTACACTAAAATTGTGTAGTGCAAAAAAATAAATAATATTAAATAAGGCGTGTTAAATGTTAAAATCCAAAAAATGTATTTCCAGGTTTACCGAAATGATATCCTTCATTTGTGGTGATATCCAGATTTCTGTGTGGTCTTAGACTTTTGGACCCCGATGTATTTTTACTAAAGCATTTTATCATATGAAAAATGTCATGAACATATTTTGATCAGAACTTTGAATGGATTCGCTTAAACAGCCATTTCATACAGATTCATGGAAAAAATGAAACTTGTCAGACCTGCTGTTTTCGCAGTTGAATTTTTGTATTCATGAGACAAGGAAGGATCATGAAACTAATTTCATGAGACTTTAGAAAATGTAATTGCCCAATAAAAATTGCATTAAAATCTTTAGACATTTATGATGTTGCTTAATTTTATATGAGCAGCTAATCATGTGTGCTCTACCGAGTGACTCGTTTTGACCTTTTATTCGACTGAAACTGGCCATCACCTCGAGTGTGTGCAGTATAGAAAGTGATTGGATGAACTGTTTTGATGTGTAGCATGGCTGAAATTCCCCTTAATAACAGAAAGACAGTAACCAGCAGGGATTTAGCACTCGGTCCCCTCCGTTGCCATCTCCATGGTAACAGCACAGGGCTGGAGACATGAGTAAAAAGCACAGGAATGATTAAAGATAAAGAGTATGTCCTTCTGTTGCTGCACATGCTCTCACACTTATTGGGTCCTCACCATTACAGTTCAGTTCAGAGGAAAAACAATGAGCTTTCACACACTCACCCACTCGCTAATCATGGCACATTGTGCCAAAGGGCTCTTTGTTGCAGAGCTTTTCTCTGCCAAGCACTGATATTAGTACCGTTTCTGCCTCATAATTCACACAGGACTGGAAATGCTAAACGAGCGTGCGCTAGTTGTCTTTTGTTCCAAATGTAATGTTGCTGGTTGTTTTGAGGTTTTGAAGTGTTGTTGCTTTTTTTTTTTTGCATTATAAATGATGAAAGGTTGTAAGCAGACTTTGTTTGGGTGACTCTCATGAAGCCTATCAAGAAAGAACACAACTGAATCAAAAATAAGATATGATACTTTACATGAAAAACATAAGGTAACACTTTAGTATAGGGACTAATTCTCAGTATTAATTAGTTAATTATTAGCATGCCTATTAATAACATATTGGCTGTTTTTTAGTACTTATAAAGCATTTATTCTGCATGACCATATTCTACATTCCTAATCCTACCCAATACCTAAACTTAACAACTTCCTTACTAACTATTAATAAGCATCAAATTAGCAGTTTATTGAGGAAAAGTCAGTTAATGGTTTGTTAATGGTGAGAATTGAACCTTAAAATAAAATGACCGAAAATAATGACTGTTTTTTGACTTTGTGACTTGCTTTTCAAAAGAATTAACCACATTTTTCTCAAAATGATCATGACTGCATATAGAAAAAATGTATACCATTCAAACATTTGGATTTATTTATTTATTTATAAAGACATTGAAACTTTTATTAAGCAAGGATCCATTAATTGGATAAAAAGTAATAGTAAAGACATTTTATAATGTTACAAAAGATTTATATTTAAAATAAATGTTCTTTTAACTGTTTATTCAAAATATAAAATTATATATATGGATAGAGAGAGGGAGGTTGTTAAAGATATAGACAGATATTTGTAATTAAAATAATGGGCTAAAATAGATGTGTATGTATACATCTGGATTCCAGTTTTCTGTTTGATTCTTGTAAATGAAATTGTGTAGGCATGCATTCAGTCAGCCAGTCTTTTTCAATGAGCCCCTTTTTCTAGATAGTCTTACAATCTAGAACTTTCAGTCTATTTTTAACTGACTTCTTCAACCAGGTAAAGAGTAAAATTTAGCCACCTGAAGAAGGGATGTACAAGGGAAATACAAGAGCATCATCCCAACTTATGTTAAATTGCTTACCATCCATTGACGAGGCAGTTGTAGAAAAACTAGGCCTTCTTCTGTTAAATGAACAAGCATCCCAAAATTGGGAGATATTATCAATTTAATCAGCTTATTACTATTAGAAGCCTTTCTCTGCCTTTCTTCAGTGTCGCAGAACCAGCTGGTAATATAGCAACCCTCTTACATTACAATCATAACTGACCTATAAATAATATCACAGCAGGAAAAAGACATCCCTTCTCGATGCTTAAGGGTGGAATTAACCAGCTGAGAAATATTGAGCATAAAAGCCATGTAGCGAATGAGCTCATGGGGAAATATGAATAATTAATCATAACTAGTTATAATTAATTATAAATATTTGTATCTGGTGTCAGGGTTGCCATGGTAACCAGGGTCCTGGGCCCTGTTCACAGACAACTTGGCATCCAGTTTATTGGGTGAGGGGTCTGTGACGATTTGTTAATCTAATGAATAACTGATTTGTTAAATCAAATGAAAAATTGTGTGTTTGATTGGTCCAGACGTTACAGCCATTAATTAGCGCAGTCATGTAGTTAAATCACAAAAAATTTCTAATTTCCTTTCCATGTAGCTGTGCTTCATCGTTTGAGAGGTTTCTGATGTTTGCGGTGTTATTAAAACACTTTTAGCAGTCAGTTCCGTGAGACTTTGTACCTGTTCTTTTAGTTTCTGTTGAACTGAATGATAAGCACTGTTCTCAAACTTTTTCTCCCCTTTTCTCTCTTCCACAGAATGAGAAACCGCTTGGTCATTCTGCAAGCAGGTCCAGCAACATTTCAAAGGTATGAAAATCCATTTCCTTTTCCTCTTCTACTGAGAGCGAGTGAGTGGCTTAGCTTTCTAGGGGGTCTGCACCTGCTGTCTGCAAATACTTTCATTCTCTTTCTGAGTTTATTCCGTCAGGATTTCTAAGCAAGACTTTTCAGACTGAAATATATTTATTGGCCTGATGCAAAGGAGATCGGAAGGACATTTTGTCTGACCTAGAAGGAAGAAAAAAAGCACAGCAGACAATAAAAACATAAGCACAAGGGCTCATTTTATGCTTACAGTATGTAGACTTTCACTCTAGTTATTTATTTTTCAGGTCAAGGAAGCTTTGTACTTTATTATCCAATCTTGAATTCCCCTTTCCATATTTAAAGGACACCTGTTTATCTGTCTGATATTTAATGAACACCATGTGCTATGGGCTTGAAACATATTCTATGCAATTATGCAAATGAGACATGAATGCTCACAAGTGCTTATCCGCTGTATATACTTAATATGAGTTCTGTTGCCGTAACAAACCTCTGTAGTAAATGGGCCCGTAGTTACCCTTAAATGCCTATGCCACTAAACTGGATGTGTTATTATCAAGTCAAGTCAAGTCAAGTCTGCTTTATTGTCAATTCTTCCACATGTACAGCACATACACACAGAGAATTTAAATTGCGTTACTCTCAGACCCTTGGTGCATACAGATAACACTAACAGTAGAACATAAATACAGATATACAGATTAAATATAAAATACAACTATACAAATATACAAATAAGGTAAAATGTAAAAAAAAAAAATATAAAAAAACTTTCTGTCGGGAGAGAGAGAAGCCGCAGCGTGTGAACGTGCCGCCATCTAGCCAATAAGTTTATTATTTATACTTATTATTCAGTATAAACATGTTGACAGTTTAACCAACTCCAACTCGCTCAGCAAGATTCTCCTCAAATTTTTTGCCTTTTGATCATAGTTGGTCTGAAATAGAAGACTATGTTAATGCACTAAAGCAGCCCTTGCAGCAGTGTTAAGAATATAGTGTGTACTTGCTTTGTCAATTTCAGAAAGCACCATTAGGTAGCTTGAAGCGTCTGCGCTTATATTCTTGTGTAGAGTATGTTTCCACAGTACACCTTTTGGTCTTATTTCTTTGATTATATCATCACCTCAAAATGTGTTTAACATTGTTGCATTCTTGGCATGCACAGTTGAGGTTTAAAAGACACTTTTAAATTCAGTAATATTATCAGTTTGACTGCACTGAATCTTAAACTAAATTGAGCTGGATAATCACAATTGTCTTCTGTAGAGCTGCTTTAGAGGTGAATCGTTGAATATAGCTGATCTCTGAAGCATAAGCTTCATTATTGAACTGGATTGATCTGAACTGAAACCGAACTGACTTGAGATGAATAAGGACTGTTGTCTTCTGTAAAGCTCCTTATAGCTGAATTAAGCTTTTTTTCATGAGCTTTACACTATTATTGAACTAAACTGAATAAACATTGAACTCTTTTGTGCTGAATAATGACGTTTTCTGTAGAGCCTCTGTGTAGTTGAATTGAGTTCACTTTATAACTTCTCTTGAAATCTTCTCTATAAATCTTTGCTAAACTGAATTAACATTGAACTAAACTGAGATGAATAATGGCATCTTCTTTATAATTAAACTGAGTTTGTTTTATAACTAATGAACTTTGCTAAATTTAATCAACATTGAACTAAATCGAGCTGAATAATGAACAGTTGTCTATTTAGAGCTGCATTACTGCTGAAATTGTATTTGTTTCATAATCGAAGAACTTGCAACATTAATACTTTTATTTCCTTGTTTATTACCATGAGGTTGCTTTAAAACAATCTGTATTATATAATGCACTATATAAATGAATGTGACTTGCATTGCATAATGAATTGCATTTAGACACATTTTAAAATGCATTGATGAATGAAATCAAGCTTCATTAGCTACTGTATTTGTTAATGTTTTGGCCTTAATGAAATGGTTCCTTTTTGTTGTTCCATTTCTTTTGATATAAAATAAAACCCACTTTGAACTTGGATTCCAACTAACTATTGGACTATTCCAAGCAAGCAGATTTGTTCTCACCCTATTCAAATAACTCCTACCCAACATTCATATTGATTTGACTATTTAAAGACACATAGCACTTTGTTAGTGAGTTCATGTTGGGATCAGGTCTGTCAGGCACTTTCACTTTAACATGGATCTCTTCCTCTTAGTGGAGATTTGCTGCACTTCTGCGTAACATTGAGCCTCTTAACAGATAAACTCTTTACATGAACTAATAGATGCCAGGGTCACCTGCTCTGCGAAACACTCCACTGGTTTAGCTCAAGACATTCAGCTACTGTGGACTTTGGGTTCACATTCAAGCCTTGAGCACTTTAAGGCTGTTTTCACATTTGGTTTGAATGCATGGTCTAGTTTGAGTCCTTATTTTGTACATTGTAAATATAGTTGATACCATAATACCATCTGCAAACAGTGGCAGAGTTCAAACAAAGCTTATCTTAGACCAATTTTTAAAGTGTACACGAGGTTAGATGGACTTTGTACAGAATTTTTATAATTTAAAAGTTTTAGAATTTAAAAATTATTTAACTTTTGTTCTTATAGTTTAGTGTTTCTGTGCTTTTAGGAGTCAACAGTTTGTATTAATTTTAATTAATTACTTTTAGAGCCTCATGTATTGTAGCATGTTCAATTGACTGCTTACATGCACCAGAGAGCATGATCGGTGTTCACCCCCAGCGGAAAGAAATGTCTCATCATTCCAGAGCTCATTTGTCTACGACAGGATAAATAACATGAGAGGTCCCATTACAGTTGTTATCAGTTCAGTGTCCGACACGCACTCATGCTGCATGACGAGGTTTTGACTGCTGAGAAACCCGAAGGGTCCTAATAGAGGTCCATGGGGTGTTCCTGTCAGCTCTGTCATTTCAGCCTTACATTAAGCAATCAAACAAAACAACACACTCAACTGATCCATGTCAGTGTTGTTATTACCCAGAATCCTCTTGGTTGGGCTCATATCTGCAGCCTTAAAGGAATAGTTCACTCAAAAAAACAAACAAACAAAAAAATGATATATATATATATATATATATATATATGTATGTGTGTGTGTGTGTATATATATATATATATATATATATATGTGTGTGTGTGTATATATATATATATGTGTATATGTATGTATGAAAATATTTCAGTTTTTTTGTCCATATAATGAAAAGCTATGTCCATGTCCAGTTACGCAACATTGAGCGGGACTCTCTGTTTGCCTGATGGGGCTGTGTGGCTTGCAGATCAAGTGCACTCAGTTTAAGTATGGTCTTGAAGAGGGTAGACTGTCTTTGGTTTATTAGAGAACATCTGTTTTGAACCCCTCTGCCTCATCACATCAGATGTCACGTTTGATTGACAGACCTTTCATATGGTAGCATCTGCATTCATTTCCATAATCATTCTGTAGACATACGCCTCAAATTGTGCAGATGATCATGTACAAACAATTAGCTGCAGAGTTAATATGCTTCCAGAAAATTGGTTCAGGTTGAACAGTCTGGAAACAAAACCTTGCTTGTTTAAATGCTTTTGAATTTAGTGCTGCTTATCATTCTGTTTCTGTACCCAACTTCTTCCTAATTTCCTTTTGATTGCTTTTTAGACTCAATCCAAAAGATCACACGACACTCAAATCCACCTCATTATGAAACAAACATTCTTACTGACTGCGTCATACTGGGGTTTTATCGCTTATGCAATAATGCTATTAAAGAAAAACCTACAATGTGTAGTCATTTATTTCCTCAAACACATTAACAGACCCTGAATTGACCTTTATTGCCAGAGTTTCCATAATATGTTAGCAAGTTGCTAATTCACAATAAGCTCAGTAGTACCATGTTTTAGAAATGACTTCAAGTTAATTCACTACATTTTACACTAGTGGTTCTCAACCAGGTTCCTGGGTGATGACTTAAAATAAAACAAAAGGGAACAATAAAATAAACTAAATGGCAAAACGTTTTTTTTTTTTGTCTTATTTTAATTCACCCCTCATTAACTTTTTTCTTCATTGAAGAACCATTGTCCTCACCATCTAGAAAAACCTGGATATACGTGAGGTTTCCTAATTTAGAAGTGTGACTTCTAGACCTAGATAAGTCATAAAATATAAAAAATATCACAAAAATCATATTTTGTGCATTCAAGGTATGGGTTTCATCACTATGTACATTTAGTTTGTATATTAACCACAGTTTTCTGGCCTTTTGCACACTTGTGCTTGTGTCGGGGCTGAGGGAAGGTTTTAGAGCGTGTAATCTTGGCCTAAAATGCTAGGTCACTGTACTCTGTGTGTGTGTGTGATGAATGGAGCCATGGAGAGAAGACGGCCTCCCAGAATAACACCCGTCATTGGGAGCAATTTAGCCCTCTGGAGGTGGACGGCACACATACAGACTTTACAGTTGCTTTGTAGAGAATGAAAAAGACAGGAAGGGCTTATGAAGGCTTGCTGAGTAGATTTGGAGGCAAGGGCCTACTCTTCCTCTCTTGTTGTTTATGCCACATGTTCATTCTTTCTCCTGTCTGTTCTCTGAAAACAGAAATGAAGTCACAAACATTTACTTTGAGGTTTGGGAGTCTCAGGTGATGGTTCTTTCAGAAAAAACTTAAGGGTGATTCATTTTTCTTTTTTCGGAAATACACCACTGTTCAAAAGTTTGGGATTGTTATGGTTTTTTTAAAGATATCTCTTATCCTCACCATGCAGGGCTGCATTAATTTGATAAAAAATATAGTAAAAATAGCATTATAGTGCTATTTTTATGCATTATAAATATTATTACCATTTAAACTAATCAATTTATTCATGTATTTTAAAATGTAATTTATTCCTGTTATGTCAAAGCTGAATTTTCAGCATCATATACTCCAGCCTTCAGTGGCACGCGATCCTTCAGAAATCATTCTAATATGCTGATTTGCTGTTAAAGAAACATTTCTTCATTATTATCAATGTTTCAAATGGTTGTGCTGCTTAATATTTTGTGAAAATGTTTTCTTTGATGAATAGAAGTTCAAAAGAACAGCATTTACAGTATTTGAAATAGAAATCTTTGTTACATTGTAAATGTCTTTACTGTCACTTTGGATCATTATAATGCGTCTTTCCTGAATAAAAGTATTAATGTCTTTAAAACACACACACTTCTGAACGGTACTGTATTTTCTCCTATCTCTGCTTAATGTGCGGTGAGTTTTACAAATTCATAGTAAGCGATTTGTAGGTTGAATCCTCTGAAAAGTATAAATATTGTGCATGGCTGGTGCTATAAAAACATTGCTCTGTTTGTGCATCCCAACCAGTCCATCACACTAACAGTGGCTCAACCTATGGTGTGAGTTTAGGTTGGGACTATCAGTTTAATTTGGGTGTAGTGTAGTTAGCACCACATGTTAACCAATAATGTTCCCTCTAAACTGCATACATGCACTTCTGATGTTTCTCCGGTACTGAAAAACATTTGAAATCTGATTCAACTCTGCACGTCCGTTGACATGAGTGACAGCAACAGTTGGCGACGCTGTGTGGGCATGTCTAGAAACTCCTAAAGTTGAGTCCAACTTTATGCAAATCAGCAACAACTAGATGGGGTGATTAACAATGGGAGTGAAGTCAGTGGAGATTATATAATACCATAAAAATGATGCAGGAAAACCATATCAGAATTTGGCGATTCATGCATTGATCTTGTTCATTATATGATGCATTTTGCATTGCTGCAGTTTATATACAAACATTTTCCCTGCATATTGTTTTTTTAGCAGCAAGAAAATAGAGACCTTGTCATCTTGTTTATACTAGAAAAACATCTAATATAAAAGGTTTAAATGTTAGGGCATCCAGCAGCGGGAATGCCTGTTAGTGACCTCGCAACCTCGAGGGACAAAATTGCTGTCAGTGTGAACTAGGCATTAAAACATGCTGTCAACATCTTCACTAAAACCACATGTATTAGAGGCAAATTCCATAACCACAGCACTGGAATTTGCATAACCCATTACTAGCGTTGTTGCTCATGTGTCAACACGCGCAAGTCTGTGCCTCATCTCTGTCCAATTTTCAGTAGTCAGTATGCCGTTTTGTCAAGGGTTTGTGTCGTTTTTGTTGATTCACACATGGCTGTGTGTGTATATCACATCTCAGAAGGGAGTCTTCACAAACATGCACTCTTGTCAGGCTTGAAAATACACCTTATCTTGCTGACTGGGTCTGCAAGGAGCCGGAGTGACTCACAGTTAATCACGTTTGCGCTGTCGTCACAACTCGACTAAGCAACACAGACATACACACATTTGCACATATACACTATTGCACATATTGCATATACACTATTTGTTTAGGTTTTTTTTTACAATTTATTTACTATATACTATTTTACTAGTACTGTTTTTAATTTCTATAAGATGTAAGTACTAGGTAAATGTGTATAGTATGTATTAAATTTTTTTTATGAAGTAACACCTAAGAAGTAACATCATTTGGTAATGGGGTTGCAAGAAATGTGTAAATAATGAATTCAAAATAAAAATGTTCAAATAATATTTATTTTGATCTCCTGAGATAGACAGTCAACATTTTCTGAATTTCCCAGGCCCTATTTGTACCCCATTTGTGGAAAGTGCCATTAAATGTTTGAAAATGTTCACATCTTCAATTCCCAAGTAACATAAACAGAAAAGTTTCTGTATAAATGAGTGTGAATCATATGAAATTCTGGATTGAGATGCTAATGTAAGGCGCTCACTCAGGCATATTACTTCCACATTTCTCACGCCTGAAAACACTATTTCCTAATAGTTTCTTGGAACATTATTCATCAAAGATGTGAATTTGTGTGACTGTGCGTGTCAGCTTGTGTGTTAGTGTGTGTATTTTTGTAGAGGGCAGTTCCGGACACTCTATCCTGTATTGATCCCTGTCAGGCCCTGGGCTATAAATTCTCTGTTTGTTACAGATAGAATCGATAGGTAATTAGTCTGGGACATAAATGATGGAATCAAACATTGCGCATGTGATCCATGCTGCTTTGATCCAAATGCCCAGGTAATATTAGTGTGTGTGTGTGTGTGTGTGTGTCTGTGTGTGTGTGTGAGAGAGAGAGAGAAATAGGTTTTAGGCAAGGATATTCCTTTTGTCGAAAGTTTTTATTTGTCTTAAATATAACCCCCCCCCCTTTCTTTTCAAGAAATTTAAGATTAAAGTTTTAAAATATTCCATTGCAATGATGTGTCTTCTTTCTGACATCTGTTTTCATAATTGGTCTTGCATACAATACATTTAACCATACACCATATATACCATTCAAACATTTGGGGTCCGTAAGATTGAAAAAAAAATGTTTTTAAAGTCTCTCATGCTTAACAAGACTGCATTTATTTGAAAAAAAAAAGAGCAAAAACAGAAATAATGTGAAATATAATAAAGATTTTAAATGACTTTTATTTTTTAAACATATTTTAAATTGTAATTTATTCCTGTGATGCAAAGCTGAATTTTCAGCATCATTACTCCAGTCTTAATTGTCACATGATCCTTCAGTACATTATTTTTTGTAGAAACCATGATACAATTTTTAGGATTCTTTGATCATTATACAGCATATATTTGAAATAGAAATCTTTGTAACATTATAAATGTCTTTACTGTCACCTTTGATCAACTAAATGTGTCTTTGCTAAATAAAAGTATTAATTCCTTTAAAAAAAAAAACTCTTACTTTGAGTCTTACTGACTCAAAACTTTTGAACAGTAGTGTATATGTGTCGAGTGTCATGACAAAGGCAAAGTGGCTGTGATGCATTTCATTTATGCAGAACCATAAAACAAAAAGCTACATTTACGTAAAATATTTTGATGCCTTGCAAGGACCGGAATTTCCATCAGGACATGCTTCTTTACTTAAAATTTCTAATTTGCTGGTCTCTGTTTTGCATACAGGCTGGAAGTCCGACCTCTGTGAACGCACCCTGCAGCTTTCCCAGGACTTCAGTGACACCCTCGAACCAGGATATATGCAGGTAGGTTTGCCCTCCGTCAGGCCTGAAGCCTCAGTGTGCTCCTGCATTATGGTCGTGTCCTGAAAGAGAGTAAAAGATCCAGAAAGAGGCAGAACTGTCAAAATATCAATGGGCCAACACTGCCGTCCATCTTGGTTCTGGCATTTTATTTTCTAAACCTTCCTCTTGGTTCCTCCCACCTGTCTCCATTTGTTCTCTAATGCATGTTGCACGTCTCTTTATGTCCATTTTCTCTCTTCCCATCTCTGTTTCTGTACCTCTCTTTCTGTCCCATCCCTGTCCTCTCGTATGCAGTTCTAATGACCTCGCTCAGGACCAGAAGCCTTTACAGGCCACTGTAGTGCTGTTGAACTCTAATGGTAAAAGCTCAGCATCTCAGGGTGTCACCATGACCATGCTCTGCCTGGACTCCCCCAACAAACCCAAAAATAGGACCTTGTTTGGCACAGAATGGCTCTCCCTACTCAAACCATCAGTCAACTTGAAACCAGAAGGAGGCAGTCTCAAGTTCTCAAAGTCTCTAAATGACGTGGGACAAAAGATGGACAGCCTATGCAACAGTCTTCACTTTATAGACCGCACGTGTTCGGATGGGGAGCTGGGAGTGGAGAAGGAACAACTCGTGCAAGACGGCCACATCAAAGCCCTCAATGGTCAAGCCAACTCTCCTCCTCCGTTTGCTTCTCAGCCTCCATCCTTCCTCAACAACTATAAATACATCTCCAACCCAGGGCCTGAGCACTGCCTGGCTCCCCCTGCTCCTCCCCATTCAGACCTTCAAAGAAGCTCCAACTTCCTGCGGTTCATCATCCCGTTCACCCGGTCGTCCACCGCAGGAAGCCTGCAGGCATCTGAGATGGGAAGCTACGCTTCAAGGCTGCACATCGGCAAGTCATCCAGCGCCATGCTGGACGTCAGCGAGTCCTGCTGTATGGAAGAGATGGGAGACGACGAGGTGTTCGAGGAGAACTCGTCCCGCTGGAAGCTGAAGACTGAGGGCTTGTGGGCTCCTCTTTGCTCCCTTGAGGAGGACAGCGACCTGGATCAATGCTGCTCTTCGCTGTCTGAGAAAAATGGGCCGCTGTCGCCCTACTCCCTCTCGGGGGACTGCTGCAGGTTGGTGGGACTTACTCACTCCTGCCCAGCTCCTCTTACCTATGGGCTCCACCTCTAGAGTGATTCATCCTCATAGTCCCACTACAGCCCTCACCTGGATGTTCATTTCCTACAAGTCCCTGTTTGTCCTTCCTGATAGAGGCCTGCTAGTGCTGTGATAGTTTCTCGTCCTCTTGTAATGGTGGGCGATAAAAATGAAAATGTTAATGTATTGGTGGAATAGATCTGCTACGCTGCTGCTGCTGTTGGTTATTGCTGTTGTAGATTATTGCTGCTGCTGCTGCTGCATAGGAACTTGCTACTTCCAATACATATACAGATACTGTGCTGTGAGTATTTAAGGGACATACTGCTGCTGCACATGTAGCATATATAATAACCCGTAGCAGATCTATACAGGTGGAGCTGGGGAAGATGGAGGGTTTCCGAGTAACTATTGGATGCTAACCAGCCATGTAAATGTAAAGCAGCATGCTTATTGGCTGCGTATGCAACATGAACCAGTCAGCTTGTGCCATGTAGTTTAACACTGTGAATATCATCAGTTTGCATTAACAACCCATCAGCCTGCGCCATCTAGAATTTAATGACAGAACTTGGCGTTTATGAGTGTTAAAGATCCACCGTGTGGAAGAGGGAAGTGTCTGACCTTCTGTGTGGGATGTGATGCATATTGCATCGCAATGCTGTCATGGACCGTCCAAGCAGATTTAATTGGAGAGATCCAGTCGATGTTTATGGTAGCTTCTTGATTGATGTAGTTTAGCCATATTGAATGAGGTAGAATGAAGATTGAGATCTGATTACAGTTTTGGTTGTGGCTGTCTGGCTTTGCGATTTGAGACCAGGCAAAATAACCGTTGTATCAATATTCATCTACAGGGCCACACGGATGCCTCAGGACACAATTAGCGTAACTTATGAGGTATGTAATTGACTTAGAGCTGCGGCCTGCCGGCATCAAACTAAACAACTCTGGAAGAAAAACTGCTTTTCAGCTCCAAGTACTATTTGGTTGTTACAAATTCTTTCCAGCATCTCAGATTTAGGGTAGTAGCTTTCAGGTGAACTCCGCTCTGGCTTATATAGAAAAAGAGTATGGCTGCGTCCAAAATCGCATGCCATGACTAGGTACTACACTGGATGAGGAACAAATTTTGTGACCGCTACAGAATTGTTCTATATAGTGTGAATATGTGTAGTATAAATGTAATCCAGACGTACTACGTTTGTCTTTGTCATGTGACCTAACAGCGTCAGTTGTGTCACTTTACTGCCATTCACAAATCCTCTCCCGTGGCCTCGTGGGGGGATAAAGTGTCCTTTGGATTGACAATTCAGAATTTTGCTGGAAGTAGTAATCCATTCGGGTACTTTTTGCCTACTGTAGAATGAATACTGTGAATTCGGAATACTACTCTTTTCACGTACAGTTTTTTTTTGCCAGCTGTATAGTAGGGATTCATATTCGGATGCAGCTTATGTTTGTTTGTAAAGTGGCTACATCCAACAAGCTTTTTGAGAAGATCTGCTTATCTCTAAGCTAAAGTCATTGCTTAACACTTTACCTGAGCTTCACTAGACTTCTTCAGTTTTTTTATTGTGTACGTCTTAAGGGTGAGAGGAGGTTTCTTCCCACATGTATTACCACTCTCACGCAGTGCTGTGAAAACACATGTGCTCTTAAAATAGCTGACATTTAGAGATCAGCCAGCAAGACTTATTGGTTTAAACCAGAGTTGAAATGCCCAGGCTTGGAGATATGCCACAAAGCATGCACAGGTGTCTTGAGGTGTGACCCATGGCAAGGATTAATTTTTATGTGGAAGGAACATCACATGTACTGGTGCATTTAAATGTTTTAACTGCATCTGAATATTTTAGTTTATGAGGGATCTATTCATGGAATAATATAGGAATTATTCATATGTTTCTGTCTGCTCATAATTATGTGCTCAGTCACATCTGCAGTTATAGTTTCAAGAGAACGTTCTCAAACGACAGTGAAAATGTTTTATGCTTCAGCTCTTTAGAAAACCATTTATGAACAGGTGCTTGAAAGAACTAATACAATGATCTGAGGAACATAAAATATAATATGCTAATTGGTATGTTTTATTTGTTAAAGAGGTGGTTCACTGTTTTTTTTCTAGGCTTGATTGTGTTTATGGTGTCTAACGTGTTAATGCTTCGTTTTAAAAAAAAAACGCATTATTTTTCACATAATTTACCTTTATTCCACACCGCTCTGTCCCTTCTCTGAGAAACATGCTGATCATTTCCTTCTTTTATGAAGCCCCTCCCTCAGAAATAGGCGATGGGCTGAGATTGGTCAGCTGGCTCAGTGTGTTGTGATTGGCTAAACCGCCTCTACAGCGCGTCTGAACATCCCGCCCCTCAAGCTCAGAATGTGCTTCGGTTGTATTGTAAACAATGACGTCCTCTATATTGCTTATCAATTTGAGCCCGATTGAGACGCAGAGAATATTAATGAAGAGGATTGAGCAGAACCTGTGCAAGCACTGCTCTTAATGGTATGTTTGTTTGTTTGTTGTTGTCCCATACTTTTAGATACGCTGTTGTTTGTAAATGCTACTGCTTCTGTTAGCTTTTAATATATGGTTTTATTCTGATTAAAGCTTTAATACAGCACAGCAACCGTACGCACGTCCATGTATAACGCTTCTCATAGCTATGTGAAAATAAGTGTATAAATGGAACAGTTTGTTGGAGCTGATCTGACGATCTGAATGTTTTTGTCATAGAATATAAATATACATAGGCCTATATTTTTTCATATTTGTTTATTTTATTTTTCTTTATAATGAAGTAGTCTGTATCTAGTAGATTGTGAAAGAATGATTGTCAGTTCCACACACAGAGATATATAAATTCTACATTTATTTAAGTGAGGGAAAAAAACTTCACTGGTATCGGATCCGTATCGGTATCGGCCAATACCGAACCCTAGGTATCGGAATCGGTATCGGAGGCGAAAAAGGCGGATCGGAGCATCCCTAATTGTATCAGTTCATTGTTGGAGCTGAGCTGAATGAGAGAGAGAGAGAGAGAGAGAGAGAGAGAGAGAGAGAGAGAGAAGCAGAGCGTGTGCAGAGCAGGGGGACGCGAGGAAAAGGATTAAGAACCGCTGCTTTAGAACATTGATTTTGAAACTTGTGAATCCATTCGAATCGTTAGAAGACAGAATCGCGATTCATATATGAATAGATTTTTACGTGCACCTCTAGTTTTCTCTTCCTCTTCTCTAAAGCAGCTCAGCATGGCCTCGCCCCCTTTGTTGCCTTTTTCTGAGGGCGGGGTTTATCTGGGTTTGTGTCGTCACGAACCTGGGAAGTAACTTGTTGAAGTCCCTACCAGCCGTTTTTGTAGGCATTAAACTGCCAGAATTTTAAAAGACGATATCTCCGTTTGCATTGAACTTTCAGCTTCGTAACTTTGCAGATATTGTTTATGCTCAAACAGCAACATTACACACTAACTAACGTTAAATTAGAGAAATCGCAATGAACCACCCCTTTAATGTCTCGAGTCAATTCAAAAATTCATTGTTTGTACCCAAAATGTTCAGTGAAGGGTTAGGGTATTAAAATGCGCTAGTCATTTTATATAAAATAGAAGATGTATTGGAAATTGGAAATATTTTAAATTAAAATAAGTATATATTATTTTTCCTTATGTTAATTTAGTGAAAACAGAATGGAGAATGGAACTTTTTTTTTAACTACATTTTGCACTTTTTTTTTTTACTTGTTTTAAACATTTTAATCCATGTCACAAGAAATACAATCATATTTATTGAGTATCATAGAATTACAGTAGTGTATTTACTTTAATACAGTGCTATAAAGAGTGAATGCTTGTCTAATGAAATCATTTGACTATTCCAGAACAGCAGGTCAATGAGCAATTGTGAAACCTTGTGAAAAGGCCGGATATAATGTCTTAAATGTGGTAATTGGATTGAGTCTTTCTATTTGAATGTAATCTAGTCTAGCTTTATGTGATTGTCTTAATATATTCTGATTAAAATAGAAAGGAAGTTAGAGAGGGGAATGAATCTGGCCTTTGTAGTCAAGAAAAATATGAGTGATCATAAACAAAAGGAGTCCAGTAAAGCAATGTCCCATAAAGCACTCACGGACGTTATTACACACTGTGCTCAGACGGGTGTAAGATGATGGAGATGTGACAGGCTTCGTTTTTCTCTTTTTCTGTGCTGTTTCTTGCTCTAATCTTGTAGAGCCTTGACTGGATCATGCGTGTCTGAAAATAGTCATTATCCTGGTCATTCAGTCTGAAAAGCCTCCTCTGGACGCTGACACTGAAGCAATCTTCCCTCTCATTTGTGCCCCGGCAGCTAGTTAACATTTAGAGGGCCCGTATCGTGGAGGATATTATTGGTACATCCATTACAACGTCTAAACCGTGTGCTGCGACCATAATGTCATTTGTTGTATGCTGTTGTTCTGTCAGCACGTGTATACATCAAAGATTAAATTTATGGTTGTCTAACTACAATTTTTCCTCATAACATTCCTCTGGCAAGTACTGCTGTTTGAAATGCTTGGAATCTTTAATGAAGTCACAGTCAAATCTCTTGTCTCTGAAGAATTTAAATTTTCCACATTTGGCAGATGGTTTTAATTAAAGCGACTTCAAACTGTGCATTTTATCATATTGTGTTTCCTGGGAATCAAACTCATGACAATGACATTGCACTTTGAGATCTGCATGCATAGAAATTGAGCTCCCCATTGTGTTTGTTTCAAATCCACCAGCAGCCATGCAATGAATAATACACAAATTATTCTGAAAACAGAAAAATGTGTATAGAGTAAATATTCTGTAAAATGTTCATTTCATTTCCACAGTTTTGTTTGTGTCTCACTGCATCTCATTTATTGCTGTAAAATGATAAAATGGTCCTTATAGTATTTATTTTTATGTAGTTTTTGTCCTGTGTAGGGTTGCAGGGATGTCAAAGCCAAATGTTATTTTATTTTATTATTATATTATACATGGTTTTGGCCATTGAAAAGTCAGTTGATCTCTATTTTGAAATGATGTCTCTCCCAAATTGCTAATCGTGTGTTGTTCTCTGAAGAGCACCAGTGAGATGTGAACTCATCTGTGATTCACTTTGAACTGACGCTTGCCTCAGCGGAACGATGGTGCTGACATCCTCCTAATATGAATGTTGACATTTGTCACACAGTTGTTTGTACGTGTTGCTTTCCCAGATGACCTCTAAGCTTATTAAACACTGGCTGAGTCAGAAATTAAATTCATGTGCATAAATGCCCACGAGTGGTAGAGAGAGAAGAGAAAAAAAAAAAACATCTAATTTGTTTCTTAGCAATGAAATTACATGGAGAATAAATTGAGCTTTCAGCTTAGATTCTGCTCTCTCTCTGTCTCTGTCTCCGTCTCTATCTCTTATCTCCCCCTGGACACTCTCCACAAATCCAGCCATCCTTCCAGTAACAAACAGCTTTTCCATTTTCCCCTGCTTGTGTGATTTAAAGTTTAACGGTTGGATGCTTCTATAGGTTCTGTTGATGTTTCTGTAGGGAATTACTTTCCATGAATCATTCAGGAAAGGGAAATGTTAGATTTATGTGTATATTGCGGCACTGATCTGAACATGGTGAACACAGAAACTGTGTTTCTGTCCCAACTACTGGCTTCTGTTTTAGCCTGTTTATAGTGTCCGCTTTATAGTCAATCACTTTGAAAGTTTTTTTTTTTTGGTGATTATGGTTTATTCAAAACTTGAAAATCCTAACAGCAAGTATTAAGAATCAGTTGCGGTTACAGCTGCATTATGAGATGAACAGTATTATAGGATTCCAGTGATATAAGTGTGTGGTGGTTCATGTTGCTCTGCAGTGGTTTTAGGAGGATGACCGAGTGTTTCTCCCTCTCTCTCCGTAAATAAACTGTAGGATTTGTCACTGTGAGGGGGATGATGAGAGTCCGCTGATAACACCCTGTCACTGCACTGGGAGTTTGCGGTTTGTCCATCAGGCCTGCCTGCAGCAGTGGATCAAGAGCTCAGACACACGCTGCTGCGAGCTCTGCAAGTACAACTTAATCATGGAGACCAAGCTCAAACCACTCCGTAAGGTAATGTTACATACATGTATACACATGCAGATGGAAAAATGTTGAGGTTTACCTACTCATACCGAACATCTTTAAAAAGCACACTATAAAAAGCCTTCTGTGAAGGGTTAAAACATGCCCTTATAAAACAGACATTGGATTGAATTACATTCAGAAAACATATAGTAATTGTTTTGTTTACATAAAAACAAGACATACCTAGCATGGTCGAGATTGTTTAATGATGATATATATGTGCATATTTTTTTTACGTATCAGCCAGCTTTGTATATTTGTGTATGCTCATTTCTCCTATTTTTACATCACCTTTGCTATCATCTAACTCTTACTTAAAGTGAATCTTTAAAAACACTAATAATTTCCTGTGCTCAAACAGCAACATTACACACTAACTAACGTTAAATTAGAGAAATCGCAATGAACCACCCCTTTAATGTCTCGAGTCAATTCAAAAATTCATTGTTTGTACCCAAAATGTTCAGTGAAGGGTTAGGGTATTAAAATGCGCTAGTCATTTTATATAAAATAGAAGATGTATTGGAAATATTGGTGCCTTTAAATTAAAATAAGTATATATTATTTTTCCTTATGTTAATTTAGTGAAAACAGAATGGAAAATGTTTCTTTTTTTTTAACTACATTTTGCACTTTTTTTTTTTACTTGTTTTAAACATTTTAATCCATGTCACAAGAAATACAATCATATTTATTGAGTATCATAGAATTACAGTAGTGTATTTACTTTAATACAGTGCTATAAAGAGTGAATGCTTGTCTAATGAAATCATTTGACTATTCCAGAACAGCAGGTCAATGAGCAATTGTGAAACCTTGTGAAAAGGCCGGATATAATGTCTTAAATGTGGTAATTGGATTGAGTCTTTCTATTTGAATGTAATCTAGTCTAGCTTTATGTGATTGTCTTAATATATTCTGATTAAAATAGAAAGGAAGTTAGAGAGGGGAATGAATCTGGCCTTTGTAGTCAAGAAAAATATGAGTGATCATAAACAAAAGGAGTCCAGTAAAGCAATGTCCCATAAAGCACTCACGGACGTTATTACACACTGTGCTCAGACGGGTGTAAGATGATGGAGATGTGACAGGCTTCGTTTTTCTCTTTTTCTGTGCTGTTTCTTGCTCTAATCTTGTAGAGCCTTGACTGGATCATGCGTGTCTGAAAATAGTCATTATCCTGGTCATTCAGTCTGAAAAGCCTCCTCTGGACGCTGACACTGAAGCAATCTTCCCTCTCATTTGTGCCCCGGCAGCTAGTTAACATTTAGAGGGCCCGTATCGTGGAGGATATTATTGGTACATCCATTACAACGTCTAAACCGTGTGCTGCGACCATAATGTCATTTGTTGTATGCTGTTGTTCTGTCAGCACGTGTATACATCAAAGATTAAATTTATGGTTGTCTAACTACAATTTTTCCTCATAACATTCCTCTGGCAAGTACTGCTGTTTGAAATGCTTGGAATCTTTAATGAAGTCACAGTCAAATCTCTTGTCTCTGAAGAATTTAAATTTTCCACATTTGGCAGATGGTTTTAATTAAAGCGACTTCAAACTGTGCATTTTATCATATTGTGTTTCCTGGGAATCAAACTCATGACAATGACATTGCACTTTGAGATCTGCATGCATAGAAATTGAGCTCCCCATTGTGTTTGTTTCAAATCCACCAGCAGCCATGCAATGAATAATACACAAATTATTCTGAAAACAGAAAAATGTGTATAGAGTAAATATTCTGTAAAATGTTCATTTCATTTCCACAGTTTTGTTTGTGTCTCACTGCATCTCATTTATTGCTGTAAAATGATAAAATGGTCCTTATAGTATTTATTTTTATGTAGTTTTTGTCCTGTGTAGGGTTGCAGGGATGTCAAAGCCAAATGTTATTTTATTTTATTATTATATTATACATGGTTTTGGCCATTGAAAAGTCAGTTGATCTCTATTTTGAAATGATGTCTCTCCCAAATTGCTAATCGTGTGTTGTTCTCTGAAGAGCACCAGTGAGATGTGAACTCATCTGTGATTCACTTTGAACTGACGCTTGCCTCAGCGGAACGATGGTGCTGACATCCTCCTAATATGAATGTTGACATTTGTCACACAGTTGTTTGTACGTGTTGCTTTCCCAGATGACCTCTAAGCTTATTAAACACTGGCTGAGTCAGAAATTAAATTCATGTGCATAAATGCCCACGAGTGGTAGAGAGAGAAGAGAAAAAAAAAAAACATCTAATTTGTTTCTTAGCAATGAAATTACATGGAGAATAAATTGAGCTTTCAGCTTAGATTCTGCTCTCTCTCTGTCTCTGTCTCCGTCTCTATCTCTTATCTCCCCCTGGACACTCTCCACAAATCCAGCCATCCTTCCAGTAACAAACAGCTTTTCCATTTTCCCCTGCTTGTGTGATTTAAAGTTTAACGGTTGGATGCTTCTATAGGTTCTGTTGATGTTTCTGTAGGGAATTACTTTCCATGAATCATTCAGGAAAGGGAAATGTTAGATTTATGTGTATATTGCGGCACTGATCTGAACATGGTGAACACAGAAACTGTGTTTCTGTCCCAACTACTGGCTTCTGTTTTAGCCTGTTTATAGTGTCCGCTTTATAGTCAATCACTTTGAAAGTTTTTTTTTTTTGGTGATTATGGTTTATTCAAAACTTGAAAATCCTAACAGCAAGTATTAAGAATCAGTTGCGGTTACAGCTGCATTATGAGATGAACAGTATTATAGGATTCCAGTGATATAAGTGTGTGGTGGTTCATGTTGCTCTGCAGTGGTTTTAGGAGGATGACCGAGTGTTTCTCCCTCTCTCTCCGTAAATAAACTGTAGGATTTGTCACTGTGAGGGGGATGATGAGAGTCCGCTGATAACACCCTGTCACTGCACTGGGAGTTTGCGGTTTGTCCATCAGGCCTGCCTGCAGCAGTGGATCAAGAGCTCAGACACACGCTGCTGCGAGCTCTGCAAGTACAACTTAATCATGGAGACCAAGCTCAAACCACTCCGTAAGGTAATGTTACATACATGTATACACATGCAGATGGAAAAATGTTGAGGTTTACCTACTCATACCGAACATCTTTAAAAAGCACACTATAAAAAGCCTTCTGTGAAGGGTTAAAACATGCCCTTATAAAACAGACATTGGATTGAATTACATTCAGAAAACATATAGTAATTGTTTTGTTTACATAAAAACAAGACATACCTAGCATGGTCGAGATTGTTTAATGATGATATATATGTGCATATTTTTTTTACGTATCAGCCAGCTTTGTATATTTGTGTATGCTCATTTCTCCTATTTTTACATCACCTTTGCTATCATCTAACTCTTACTTAAAGTGAATCTTTAAAAACACTAATAATTTCCTGTCCTTTGAGATGATTAAAAACAAGTTAGTCCATAAAGCCTGCAGGAGGTTTTGATTATTAATTGTGTTATAATGAATTATTTTTGAGTGACGTGAATAAGATGAAAGTCCAGCCACTTCAGTGTTTAGTCTTTGTTCACTGCTTCCTCTTTTAATTACATTTCTGATGGTGTGTGTCTCAAATGGGGTTTAAAATAGGGCATATCTAGGACAGCCTTTATGTCACCATAGAGATTGTGCTTGAGCAGACTTCCTCAGAGAGAGAGAGAGAGAGAGAGAGAGAGAGAGAGAGAGAGAGATTTCAAGGTGTCTGCAAGATGAACTGAGATGCAAAAATGGTCGGTGTGACACAGACTGACTGATAACCAGTATACTCTGCTGGTTGGATTCATTCAGTTTGTGTGTTATCACTGGCTGTAAAATGATATTTGAGACATTGTTCTGTTGAATAGGTTGTAGCAAATCAGCTCAAGGGGAAATATGAATAATTAATCATAACTAGTTATAATTAATTATAAATATTTAAATCCGCTGTAAGTATTTACTTGACCTCTCAGGGTCAACTGTGTCAAATTCTAAGAACGTTAATTTCCTGGTTAAGGGAAATAACTTTCTTACTGTACAATTCTACACAGAGCCTGTAGCATAAATCTGCATGATTAAGGGACTCCAGTTATGAGCAAACAATGAACAACGTCAAGTGTGATACAAGTAAGACTTTATTAACTACATAAACACTTAAACTAGTCTAACATACTACATAAACACTTAAACTAGTCTAACATACGGAGTTTGGAAATACTGGGGAGTTTTATGACCCTTTGTGTGAAAGCATGGTAATTTGCATATGAAACTTGAATCAAAATTACTAATGATTCTAAGAACACTAATAATATTGCCTATGTACCAACATATAATATACACTCTCGTTTAGATCATCAGAAGACGAATTCATAGATACTAAAC